AAAGAAAGGTAGCTCTTTGAAGGTGCAGTGACTCTAGAGATGCAAGAGAAAAGAGCGCGCTGATATGGAAAAGTCTCTCGTCGGAAAAGTCGGCCAATGGTAGTCGTGAGCATGGGCCGACAGCCCAGTATAAACCAACTACAAGAAGAAATGACCCTCGTCTGTACTCTCAAGCGACCTACCGTAGTACGTGAAAGAGAGTCGGGGGAGTAGAAGAGATGGAATGGAGAGAGGAGCGGTGCACCACCTGTCTCCCGCCACCACTCCTCCTCTTATACAGTCCCCCAGAAGGAACATTCTAGAATAATTCGGCTCCTTTTGGCTCTGAAAGACCGACCTTTTAAATACCGCTTGCCACAGAGCCGCGTTAGGCTACTCGGGTTTATCAATATAGTTTCGAATGCAATATAATTAAAATTTAAATACACAAAGTAGGGCATCACTTTCACCGAGGCTTCTTTCCGATAGCCTTCTTGGGAGCTGCCGCTGGAGCTGCCTTTTTGGGGACGGCCTTGGGTGCTGGTGCCGCCTTCCTAGGGGCGGCCTGCTTGATCGTCTGCTTCTTTTGCGCGTTTTGCTTGGGAGCAGACTTTTTTGACCCCGTATTCTTTGGTGCGGCCTGAGACCTGGCCTTTGAGCTGTTGTTCTTTCCACGGTTCAAAGCTTTTGACTTGACGCCAGGCTTGACGGCCTTGGAGCTGGTTTTGCCTTTGGGCTTGGAAGTCTTCTTGTTGGCGACTTTACCCCTAGACGCGGTCTTGCCTTTGGCGGTAGTCCTCCCTTTAGCCTTGTTGGACGCAGTGCGAGTTTTGGAGGCGGCTCCTTTTCTCTGAAAAGCCTTTGAGCCAGCCTTGGAAGCTTTGCTAGTGACCTTTTTGGATACGTTCTTTCCCTTTGCCGCGGTCTTGCCCTTCGCTGCGACCTTGCCCTTTGTGGTCTTGAAAGTGGTCTTCTTGGACGCGTTCTTGCCCTTTACATTCTTCGAAGCGGTCTTTCCTTTGGACTTGGAGTTGGTCTTGCTCTTCAAAGCATTTTTTCCCTTTGCGGCGACCTTGCCCTTGGTGGTCTTTCCCTTTGCCTTGGACGCGGCCTTGTTCTTCGAACCAGCCTTGCTCTTCGAAACAGCCTTGGGTTTCTTCGAAGCGGCTTTGGTGGACTTGCGAGCGTTCTTGCCCTTTGTAGCGACCTTGTTCTTTGCGGTCTTGCCTTTCGGAGCCTTGGACGCAACCTTGTTCTTTGAAGTCGCCTTGGTGGCTTTGCGACCAGTCTTGCCCTTTGTAGCGACTTTGTTCTTCGAGGTCTTGCCCTTCGCGGTCTTGCCTTTGGCGGTCTTAGTCTTGGACTCAGCCTTGTTCTTCGAACCGGCCTTGCTCTTCAAAGCCGACTTGGGCTTCTTTGAAGCAGCCTTTGTAGCCTTGCGACCAGTCTTGCCCTTTGCGGCGAGCTTGTTCTTCGCGTTCCTGCCCTTAGCAGCCTTGTTCTTCGAACCGGCCTTGCTCTTCAGAGCCGACTTGGGACTCTTTGACGTGGCCTTGGTCTTGCGAGTGGTCCTG